CCAAACCCAACAGTTTTTTTGGAGGATTCTGTGGAAAACTTCTATTTTTGGCCATTGAGGGGTTGGCAGATCTTCAAGGGGTGGTAAACCGATAGTTTCCTATGTTTCGTCTTACAACACGTGCTTTAAGCCAGAAACATCATCCGTGGCTCATACAACTCCAGTTTTCCTCTCCCTTCTCACCTGCGTCTGTGGTGTAGCGGTTAGGCACTTTGTTGTCGTGCAGAGAAGACCGGAGTTTGATTCCGGTGTTGGGAGAAAATAATTGTTACTGAACTGATTATCTCAGGCTTTGTTCTGCGATGTTTCCCTCTCGGCCCGGGTCGGTCCTGACAGGGAGGGTGGGAAGCCCACCTCCTAAATGTTCTAAATTTTGTAGATTGGGGGCGTAAAAAACATGGACCTCTACTAAAGCTAAAAAAAAAAGAAAACCACCTGAATGCTCTAAATTTTGTAGATTGGGGCATAAAAAACATGGACCTGTACTAAAGCTAAAAAAAAGAAAACCTCCTGAATGCTCTAAATTTTGTAGATTGGGGGCATAAAAAAAAAAAGACATTTAAAAAAATGTTGGTCTCCCCTTGACAGCGGCCATGAACAACGGCAACATCAGAGTGACCACCCCTGGCCACCCACCGCAGGGCGCAACGACAGCAACCACAACCTCCGCAGCAGCCACCGCGGCCCAGCAGGAGGTGGAGAGGTCAAGGTCGTCCCAGGCCGCACCGCAACAACCACCACCGTCACAACAACAGCCGCCGCGGCCTCCCATCAACCCGATGGAGATGCTGGCTAGTCTGATGTCCCCGCAGGGTGCGGGCGGCGCGCCGACTATGTCCCCCGGGGCTCCCATGTCGCTGGACATTGGCTCCCTTCTCACGGGCTTCATGGTACGTCAGTCTGTCCGCGGTTGTTGTCGCTTCTCGTCAGTCTGTCCGCGGTTGTTAGAGGGATCCTTAGGACCTTATGCAGTTGCGAGCGCTGTAAAACCCCATATGAAACTAAGAGGGATCCCCACTCTTCTAAATGATGGGTGGCTGGAGGGTGCTACTGGTTGATTGTAGTCTTAACTTTTCCTCAGTTTTAGACCGAAGGGCTAGAACCCAAATGGCCGCTGGATCGGAAAAGTAAAGTAAAAGTAAAGTTCCTCAGTTTTATGTTAGTCGTTTCTCGTCTGTCTGTCTGGGGTTGTTAGAGGGATCCCACTCTTCTACTTCTGAATAACGGGTGGCTGGAGGGTGCTACTGGTTAATCGTAGTCTCTTACGGTCTTCATGGTACGACAGCTGGGTTGTCATTTCTCATCTGTCTGTCAGCGGTTGTTAGAGGGATCCCCACTCTTCTAAATAGCGGGTGGCTGGGGGGTGCTACTGGTTGATTGCACTTCTACTCTTCCTCAGTTTTATGTTTGTCGTTTCACTTCACTGTGAAGGTGTTTAAGGGATCCCACACTTCCAAATAGCGGGTGGTTGGAGGGTGCTACTGGTTGATTGTACTCTTACTTTTCCTCAGTTTTACATTTGTCCCTCTTGCCTTTTTTTCCCATGCACAAAGGTACCAATTTTTTTAATAAATCTGGGAACCTGGATTTTCATAAATATCTAGACTTTGCCCACAGTGTTTGTTTGTTGGTGGTTGGCGGGTGCTCTGGTGTGGTTTGCTTCTTCTTTCCTATCAAACATCTATCATCCTTATCTCCCCTTCTTCTTTTTTATGTTTGTTACTCTCTTGTAACACCTCTAATCTTCTGGGGCTCATATGACCTTATTCAGTTGTGAGCTCTACTAAAACGAAAAACAGTTTGTGTTTTCTCTAAGGCTGTACGCATTTACCTACATGCTGATCTCTTTGTGCATACGACATTGCACTTTATATAACGATAGTCACTATGTAAAATGTATTGGATAATAATATCCGTAAATTCGTCCCCACAAGGCACATGTTTCCACAATGTTTGAAAATCTCAGGTTTTTTATCGGTACCCAGTTGGCCTCTCTGTTTTACAGCAGTATATGACAGTCACTGTGCAGGCTACTCAATGTGGGTGGTTGGTGGGTGCTCTTGTGTGGTTTGCTTCTTCCTTCCTATAAAACATCTATGGTCCTTGTCTCCCCTTTTTCTTTTTATGTTTGTTACTCTCTTGCAACACCCCTAATCTTCTGGCACTCATATGACCTTATGCAGTTGCGAGCGCCGTAAAACCTCTACTAAAACTTTAAAAAGCTACTCAATAAGTTGGCTCTTACTGTGAATCGTTTGTTTTTGAGCCTGTTTCACGGACCATCTGTATGTATGAGACAATCACCTGTACAAGCAGCCACTTCCTATTTCCTCCATTGCTTTTTTGTTAAAACATTATAATGACATTGTCTGAGACAACCCCTTTTCTTCACAGCACTGGGTGGCTGTCTTAGGCAGTTTGTACTATAATTCTAAAATGTGATATGTGAGGCAGCGTGGTAGAATTAGGCGCTCGTCAATTTTTGGGCATGTAGAGTTATTGGTATCATCTTAAAACTTGTTCACTTGTCTTTATTTGGATGAAAAAGATATCCATTTATCTTGAATACAAGTCGAGATATTTGCGACTGAAGGAGGTGGGGGTCACCTGTTTTTAGAGGTGAAAAAATGGCCACCAAAGATTAGTTACTTCCTTAGCTTAAGAGTCAGTGGTAACTGAAAATTTACATTTTTTGTGCCTTTAATCAACTTTTTTCAGAAAAATCCACACAGAAATGAGTTCTATAATAGGCATGAAAGGTGTTGAGCCAAAAAACAAAAATGTAATAAAAATTCACAAACCGGCGTAAAAATGCAAGTTTCTTCTTCTCTTTGATTATTTTGACGAGAGCCTGATTCCACCACGCTGCCTCCTCACCTATTTCTTTAGCCCTAAAGCACATTCAGAAAATGGAAACGTGCAACTCTGTAATTCTAAAATGTGATGTTTCTTTAGCCGTAATGCACTTTTTTAAAAATGGAAATGCGCAGCATAAACGCTGTATGTATTATTGCTGTGAAAATGTGAAAAACATTAACTTACTTGTCTTTTGTTCTCTCCTCCCCTCCCCCTCTCCCTCCTCCCTCCCCCTCTCCCTTTTTCCTCCCCCCTCCCATGTGACTCAGGGCCCGATGATGCAAGGCTCCGGAGGGGTCTCGGGTTCGACGACGGGCACACTGGCAGATCTGTTCACACAGTTCCGGGAGGCTTCGGGGCAGGGTGAGGGTTGTCACGTACACACACATATACCTCTTTCTGTAGCTCTGTTCCACTTAAGATGTCGTGGGTGATTGGTGGGTGGGTCCCGTGTGGTTTGCTCCTACTTCTTTTCCAACATCAGTCGTCCTTATCTCTCCCCCTTTGTGGGTGGTTGGTGGGTGCTCTGGTGTAACTTGCTCCTACTTCTTTTCCAACATCAGTTGTCCTTATCTCCCCTCCTTTGTGGGTGGTTGGTGGGTGCTCTGGTGTAGCTTGCTCCTTCTTATCCAACATCAGTCGTCCTTATCTCTCCCCCTTTGTGGGTGGTTGATGGGTGCTCTCGTGTGGTTTGCTCCTACTTCTTATCCAACATCAGTCGTCCTTATCTCTCCTCCTTTTTTTATTTGTGCGTTAATATCTAGTAATACCCCTAATCTTCGGCACTTACATGACCTTATTGTGTTGCAAGTGATGTAAAACTTTTACTCTCAGAGAGCTCCGGGGAGTTGGGCCCCTTATGTGCACCTCTCCGACCTCTTCTCCCTCATCCCTCCATCTCTCCATCCCTCCATCTCTCCCTCATCTCTCCATCCCTCCATCTCTCCCTCATCTCTCCATCTCTCCGACTTCCTCTCCCTCCATCCCTCCATCTCTCTCTCTTTCCTCCCCCATCAGAAAGCACCAGTGAGTCGGGTGTACTGGTATCCCTGCTAGAGACACTGGCCCCCCATGTGCACTTGTCTGACCTCCTCTCTCCATCTCTCCATCCCTCCATCTCTCCATTCCACCATCCCTCCATCTCTCCATCCCTCCATCTCTCCATCCTTCCATCTCTCCATTCCACCATCCCTCCATCTCTCCTTCTCTTCATCTCTCCATTCCACCATCACTCCATCCCTCCATCTCTCCATCTCTCCATTCCACCATCTCTTCATCCCTCCATCTCTCCTTCCCTCCATCTCTCTCTTCCGCCATCCCCCCCATCTCTCCATTCCACCATCCATCCATATTTCTCTCTTTCCTCCCCCATCAGAAAGCTCCAGTGATTCAGGTGTACTGGTATCCCTGCTAGAGACACTGGCCCCCCACGTTCACCTCTCCGACCTGCTCTCCCTCATCATGGGCAACGCGCAGGTCCTGGGTCGTCTGAGGCCTCACCTGCGCCGCTTCGTGGCCGACCACGTGGCTCAGCTGGGCTCTGTGGAGCGGCTGGTTCAAACCTCCGTGGACGACATGAGGCCGCAGATACAGCAGATTGTGGTGAGTTCTGGGGACACGGCTGGCTGGGCATTGGGGGGGGGTGTTAGATTGGGGCTGATTTGTTTTGGGGGTTTTTGGGAAAGGGGGGGGGGGGGCTAGTCGGGTTTGGGTTTTTTTTGTTGATTTGTTTTTGGGTTGTGGTTTTAATGTCGGTTTTTGTTGTGTGTTGTTTTTTTTTGGGGGGGGGGGGGGTGTGCAGAGGTGCCTATTTTTCAGATAAATCCGGACATGGAGGGTAGTTGATGGGTTTACGGCCCAACCAAAACACAATTTGTCTGTTTCATCCTTCTTGTAATTGATCATGCTCCACATGTGTGTGTGGGGGGGAGTTGTTTGTTTGTTGATTTGTTTTTGGATTGTGTTGGGGTTGTTGATTTTTTTTTTTTGGGGGGGGGGGGGGGGAGGATTCAGAGGTGTCTATTTTCCAGATAAATCCAGACATTGTGGATAGATGATGGGTTCACACTCCAACCAAAACACAATTGTGCATCGCTGTATGTGTTTCTTTGAACATGAACGTGATGTGAGCATTTCTGCGTTGATGCTGAATCTTTGTACTCTGACGTTTCGGTACATCCATCCAAAATATTATATTTTCCTTGTGGATCAATAAAATTTACGTAATCTTGTCCTCTGTCTGATCCCCAAATGTCCTCCCTCGTGTGACCCGTGGCCGCCCGTTGTGTGTGATGATGTCGCATGTGATGATGTCCCGTGACAGCGTCTGGTGGAGGTGAGGGCTGGCGTGGACATGGAGGGATCGCTGAGGGAGGGTCTGCAGCACCATCTCAGGATCATCCTCTCCTTCATCCACTCGGACCGCGCAGGTAGTGAGAATACTAGCGAGGTGTGCTGTTTCCTGTCAAACATCTGTCTGTCGTTCTTATCTCTCCTCCTTCCTCGTCCTTATCTCTCCTTCGTCCACTCAGACTGCGCAGGTAGAGAGAATTCTGGTGTTGTCTGCTCCTTTCTTCCTGTCAAACATCTGTCGTCCTTATCTCTCCTCCTTCGTTCCTCTCAAACATCTGTCGTCCTTATCTCTCCTCCTTTGTTCCTCTCAAACATCTGTCGTCCTTATCTCTCCTCCTTCGTTCCTCTCAAACATCTGTCGTCTCTATCTCTCCTCCGTCTTCGTCTCTCTTCCTTCTCGTCTTTGTATGTTACTCTCTAGTTACGCTTCTTATCTGTGTCACGTACATGACCCATTTTGTGTTGCAAGTGCCGTAAAACTTTTACTAAAAGTAAAACATGCATCCTCCTCTAATGTTCCCTTCATGATTTTAGGTCAGAAGTAGGAAAGTTCTTTTTTTTTTTTATGAGTCATCATGTCTTTTTGCTGATTAATGATATCGTATAATTAGCATTACTACATGATCTTATTCCCTTCCAAATAATGATGATTATAATAATAAATACCATTAGTATAAAACATATCCCTGTTCAACAGCAAGCTCTATGCACTTTATAAACTATATTATTACCCCAGCAGACCATAGAACACTGTGAATCATTCTCAGTTTCCCGAGAAGCATACAGTGCAAGTAGCTGATTAAGCGCGCAAACACTAACTGATAAGATGTTTTGGTGTCTATAGCTGGGTACCCAAATGTTCTCATATGGTAGCTCTGTGAAAGAATATGTTACATGCTGCGTAGGATGTCCCTTATATCCGTGTCCACACAGACTGGGTGAGATCAGAAGCCGCTATCGGTGCGGAGTCTGGGTAGCGTTTTTAAGCCTCGCCCGACAATAATGGCCGCCAGGCTGCAGTTCCTGTTTCCTCCCCACGACGGTGCTCAGTCTGTCGTGGGGCTCACACGGAACGGACATATCTCAGAGACTTTTGTCTCGCTCACAACTGATATCTCTCATAGTGAATAAACTTACACTTCTGTTTCGTTCAGAGCTAATATTTCTGTCTGGTTCAGAAGATATTCAGAGTTAGTTAACATTTCTCCTTGCGAACAAAATCTTCTTTATTGACATATAAATGTTATGCCTCATTTTAAAAAATTTTTTTTTTTTTAACAAAACTGTCTTGTGATGATAAACATTACTTTGTGTGTATGGACTATGCCTGCAATAAACAAACTTTGCTTTCTGTAGGGTTTAAGCTAACTGGTGTGAATGAACATTACCTGGTTTTATTTAACGAAGTCCAACACGCAAAAAGAAAATGAATTCTCTTTGCTTTGTAGCAGTTTGTTCTTGTAACTTTGTCTGGAACAATCTGACAGCCAGTACATGGGTTTGGCGGTGAGTGGCGGCTGCTCTGGTGTGGTTTGCTTCTTCTCTGCCACTAAGCATCAATTATCCTTATCTCTCCTCCTTCTTTTTCTGGTTGTTACTCTCTTGTAATACCTCTCCTCTTCGGCACTTTTTGACTTTATTGTGTTGCAAGTGTGGTAAAACTCTTACTGTGGGTGGTTGGCGGGTGCTCTGGTGTGGTTTGCTTCTTCTTTCCTATCAAACATCTATCGTCCTTATCTCCCCTCCTTCTTTTTTATGTTTGTTACTCGCTTGTAACACCTCTAATCTTCTGGCACTCATATGACCTTATGCAGTTGCGAGCGCCGTAAAACCTCTACTAAACAAAAACTCTTACTAAAATACAAAAACAATCGATATGTTTCTTCCCCCTCCCCTCCTCCTCCCCCCAGCGAGCGAGGCAGAGTTTGGCAGTGGTCTGTACGGCCTGTGGATGACCATGATGGCGGAGCTGATAGCTCTGTGTGTCTACTGTATCCGCGACGGACAGGCAGGCTTCTCTAACATGCTACAAGCCTATATAGTGAGTCTGTCAG